CTCGTTCTTCTTGTTATTTTGCTGTTCTGTATTGTTGCCATCAAATATGCTAAGTCGTAGTTTGATTTGCCACTTCTCGTTTCCATTTTTTTCCGTCCCACTCTCTAATACCAATTTGTTGCGTATCTGCTCGTTTGTTAATTTCCGGTATAAATTATTTCCGAGGAACTTCAGCGATACTAGTCCTTTCTTAATTATAACTAGTTTATTCTTTCTCGATACAACTTTGTAATACACAGAATTTCCACAGTCACTTTAAACTTAACAACCTTTATAATACACGCTATAAATCACAGTGTTTAACACACTTTACTTACGGTGCCTACTGTTCGCTTGACTCAATTATCTCTATCTTCAATCTATCTGCATATCTATCACTGGCTTATATACTAAAAAAGAGGCCGTCTAGCAAACACTGGGACATTCGCGAGTTCCCCGATAAGTCATGATCCTTCTAGAAACTCCAGCGCGCATGCTCCCAGAGTCGCGTGACTTCCGCTGTCGTAACATTATTTTCCTTCCAGCGATGCGATAGATCCACTAAATAACAGGAGATTCAACAAGATGTGTATTACAGAGAAGTTCTAATTTTCTTTTTTTTTAATAGCCAAGTTCGTGAAAATAAAATATGGTAACTGGACTTAGTGTAAAATGTATATCAACAATCTTTATTATAACTCAAATACAGTGTGTGTACTTGCTTGGTTAACAATGATAGTCGCTTTTACTGGATCAGCAAACTTAGATATACCAAAAGCAACTACCACTAACCAAATTACTGATAATTTTCTTTCAAATTTATAGGACGCCATAACCTTGAGGCATCACCTGATTTATCATTGGAGGACACAACTGGCAACATCTTTCCACAATGTACAACCATACTTGAGTAGACCAAATATTACCTCAAAAAGAACAAAATCAATTTAATGACTTTCTTGATTATGTGTTATGTATATACTGAAATAACTAATTCTGAAAAAAATACTATGTTAAAATAGAAATTAAAAATGCATGATGTTCTTATATACCACACTGGTCTTCCAAAGACAAAATAGCATACACATGAGAAATAACAACAGCATGATTTAGTCTTATTAGGCAAATTATACGGTGTTGTTAAAAAAATGTGGACACCTTGTGTGGTTCAAAAACTTTACTACATTCTTCAGATATACATGTTGTTGATGAAAAAGCATCACTTTGTATACACTTTAAAATTTTTAATTTATGTCAAAATGGGCTCATTCCAAGTGGGGTCCTGGCACCAAAGTGCCATTGTAATCCACCACTGAGTATTGGTAATGTACATATTAATTACATGTAAATACGAACAAAATATTTTATCCTTCTTTCTAGTTTAAACAAAACATATATGAACAAATGCATTAATTACATTTAGTTTAGTTATCCTGCAGCTCCTACCCAATTATTTATAGGTAAATTATGAGTTTAAGATTACTACAGCATAGGTAGAAAAGAGGAAATTTGGTGCTATAGTCACAGAATCTGTTATTTCAGATAATTTGTTTCCTCTGGACGAGTGTATTTACCTGTGTTCTTCTATACACTTGTGTGTTATTGAGTTGAAACTTTGCTCTTGAGGAAATGGCATTTTCCATTAGTTAAATGACTTATAATCAGGAGGAAGAGTTAAGTATTGAGAAGTGAATGCTGCCAAAGAGGGTTGTCTGGTCTAGGGAAGTACTCTTCTGTAAATTGAACTTGTGACAAAGTTTTGAGGGTTAATGACTTCTTTCTTGTTGCACAGGTTCAGAAATGACAACTGTTAGAATCTGGTGAACCCAGAATGCCCAATGAAATTTAATGCTATTGCACAATCTGATGAGTATGGAGTGGTCTCATCCATCTAATTTTCTGGTTGATACCACCTGAAACTGGTGGAGAGAGAGACCAGAGGTGCCATTAGTGGATAATGTTCACCAGTAATAATTTTGTCAGCAGGTGAAACAATGGGCACAGCAATGTGAGAGTGGTGATCTGTGGGGCAGTGATGAGCCTTTCCGTGATAGGAGGGCATGGAGAAGCCTGGAGGCATGCAGAGCCAGCAAGTGAGATACTTCTGGTAACCTGAAACCCTGTGATCCAAGGACAGGAATCTAACACCATATTGCACCCAAGATGTTTAAGGCATCTTTGCAGAAATTCCAAAAGTTAAAGGCTGGCACCAAAACCACAGTTAACTGTAATATAATTGAAGCAGATCACACACACTTGGCACTTAAGGGTGCAACCAAGGAGGAATTGGACTATGTTTTGAGGTGTTTCAGGTAGGTCACTTCATAAAATGGTTTGACTTATGTACAGGCAAGGCAAGAACTGATCCTAAGTTTGAACTTTTCAGCCCTCAGATCTATTAAGTATTTAAGTGAGGTACAGCTACAGATCTCTAATATAGTCATAATTCAGTTGTGCTGACATTTTGACTTGATGGAAAACCAACTTGATCAATGACTCCACAAACTTCAGGATAAGTCTAATGGTGGCCTCAGTCAGATCTGTCATGTTTGATTCATAATCTAGCAACATACCTTTATCCATGGTAAAAGTTAGGCCAGATCCTGAGATCTCTAGCACAGATGAATACTTGTGCACCTCCTTGAAGTCGCTGAATAAGCAACTGTTGTCAAGTGCTGAAAGTAAGATGGTATGGACCAGTGCAGCATACCAGTAAGAATTTTAATGCGGGTACACCATACTGACAAATAATTTTGCTAAAATTGTTTTAAGTATTGACTTATCATAATGGCTTTTACCAATATTGTTGGATATCATGTTACATTGTTACAAAAATGCACTTCACGTTATTTAGGTACTATTTTTCAATCCATTACAACCTAAGAAATGTTTTCAAATCAAACTTTAAGTAAGATTTTTTATATTAACTGCAGTAGCTATTAGTATCAAAATTTTAAAATTCAAATGTTGAAACTTCAGCCGCCATAAATGAACAGAGTTAATTTGGGTAAAATGTGTGTGGATGGTTAGATTGGTAGGAGATGGCAAACACTACTACCGTTCCAGTAAGAAATTAAAGTTACTTTCACCATTGCTCTCAGTATATTTATTCCAAAATTTCAGGCAATTTTGGATGTATTGACGACACAAGTAGAATGATTCACGACTAGCTTAGTTGAAAACAATATAGCTAGAAGGGTTAATGATTAAAATAATCTATAAATTAAAGAGTACGAACTGAAAACATGAGACCAAGTGGACTCTAATTGGTCTAAATACTAAATTTGGTCAAAAGTGTAGGTCAAGGCTGTAATAACTGGTTACAACTGTTAGCATTTTTTTGTCGATTGATTTCTCTAGTAGAGTCTATTAATTTTTTTCACACATATTATGTGTTTGTTTAATAAATGCCAAGTAAAACAAAAATATTTATTATAATATGGTTTTGTAACTATCGCTAGATGGAGCATGCATTGTTTACATTCTCGAAGAACGAAATACTGTTGTAGGTTTGTGTTACCGTTGTAACTTATTGTAATGTAATGAAAATACGCGTAAAGTTTTAAATATTGTAATAAGATAATCACTTTTATGCACTTAACCGTTACTAATAGGGCATAATGGATCCATTGTTTAAAGCCCTTAGCGACTTTCGTCGACGGAAGTTTGAATTATGTGCAGATCAGTGTACCGAATTGTTGGAAAAAAATCCATTTGATCAGGTAGGCTGTCTCGGCGTGCTTGTGCAACGCAAGAATTACAGGCAATAGTTGTTGTTTTTTTATTGTTTATGAATAAAAGGTTTCTTGGGTAATGGAAATACATAAAAAGATAAAAATACAAATTAACTTATTACACATAATATATTAGACATTTGGCACAAACTTTAAAATTAAACACCAGCAGCTCATTTTTTACTACTACTAGGATTAGTGTGTTATTAGCCCATGATTCGTAACATGACCTATGGACAGCAAAGCGCAATTTGGTCCCTTAAGGCTGTTCTTTCACACTAATCCTTGGAAAAGTAAAAATTTAAGTCCACCCTTTATGTTTAAGGAAACAAATAATTTTTCTCTCTTAAACTAAAATGCTAGCCTTCACTAATTCTGATGGCAACTGATTCCATAAGTCAGTCATAATTAACTGGAGCTTAGCCTGTAATTTACAAATCTTAAGCTTGTGTTCTGTCATTCTGTTATTTTCAAAATACAGTCAAAAAATCAGAGGCTTGTATCCTATCAGACAACCAGATAATCTTGTAAACTTCAGTAAGATCACCTCTTATGCTTCTTTTCTCAAGAGAAAATAAGTTAAGAGATCTTAGCCTGTCCAGCAACTTAACTAGTATGTCTTTGTATGGAATAGCCTGAGTATGTGTTAAATTCTCTAACATCTAGAGGTATGTAATGGTTAAACAGGAGGTGTGACAGGAGCCATTCTCTTAGTGAATCCTTACTCTGTTGATCTTGCTTCCATATGGAGATCTTTCTTCATTATGTTCTGTATTGTTGCCTAGGGTATGTGGATGGCTTTTGCCACTAACATTTGTGTTTATAGATTAACAGCAGGACCATTCAAAAAAAGAGGCCTGCTATACATGTCAATACCACAACTGTGCTAAGAAAAGTGTAATGTCTTGTTCTCAGTATGCAGGCACTACCCACGTAACTGTTGATCACTCCCACTTCAAAATAAGGAATATTATATCCATGTTTCATCACCCAACTTGCCAGCAGAAAATACTACTGTTGCTTTCTATACAGAATGTTGTGAGCCAAGTTAATTCATATTCCTTTGTTTTCCAATAAAATTTTGTATAAGGAATATCCATATTTTGGACATTTTAAATCTCCAGTTTGAGCACATTCTTATGATTTTGATGACAGGGAATCCACATTGAGGCTAAGAAAGTTTGCAGATGACTTGAAATGATAATGAAGGAAACTTGATTACAAGTTTAACATAATAATAATAAATATACAATGTTTTGTCATCATCAGGTTGTTGTGATATGAATGTATGAATATTTTGCATTGGAAAGGACTGTTACATATACTTCCCTAAAACAATCAGTTTTTGATGGCAATCACACTATTACTAAAATGCCAACCTATGTCAACATGTAGTTCTGACATATGCTATTCTACAAAGCTTCTTATCAAAGCTGGTGCATGCTGTATGGTAAGGAAATATTTTTTTATAATTAATCTATTGTCAAGTTTTATCATGTATTAGTTTTTAAAATTCTACATTCATGACAAAACAGTTGAATTTTGTGACATTTGCATGTTAGTTACCACCATTAATCAGTAATTCATATTTATGAGGTGTAGAAATGAAATGAATCTAAATTTGTTTTGTCATTTTGTAGGAAGGTTAAAAATATTTTTTGTATCTAAAAGGTTTTATTTCTTTTGTTTTGGCCTTTAATATTTTTTTGAACAACTTAGATTACAGTAAAAATGTTAGTTTCATTCATATTTTAAGTCAAAAAAGGACATCAGATTTCATTTTAGAGCACCTTAAAACCCTCTAACTCCCAGTGTCCACTTAGGTCCATGGACCCCTGATTATTTTTACACTTCATGGTTGTGAATATGTTTCTGGTTCACCACCAACTTGTGTAATTTTCCTACACCCCTGCTCAATATAGCTAGAAATACCCAAGAGCATGACTATTCCTGGCAACTCTAGTGTTTTCCAGGTGCCCTCTATTTTAGTATATAAGCCCGGAAAATAAAGCAGAGATAATAATCGCAGATAGATAGAGATAGAGACAGATAATTGAGTCAAGTGAGCAGTAGTGACAGTAATATAAAGAGTTTGTTTTGTTATCGAGATTGCAAACGTATTGACTATGGAAATTCTGTGTATTATAAAGTTGTATCGAAAAATAATAAACTAGTTTTAGTTAAGAAAGGACTTATATCGCTGAAGTTTCTCGGAAAAAATTTCTAAGGGAAATTAACAAATGAACAGAGACGTATCACCATATTAACAAATATAAAGTATTGTTAAAAGCAACATAGTTCGTCAAATTTTTCCCACTATCATGAGATATGTAAAATGAAGCAGCAGGACAGATCAATTAACATGATAACTTCACCATTAAAGCCAGTATCAGCATGAAACTTAGCACACTTGTTGATATTACTCTTCTATAGCTTGAATTTTTTAAGATTCAAAAATCTTTACCAATTGTCTTGTTATGAGTTCAATTATCACTAACAATGGTATTAATTAATATTAATTACCCATAGCTTGTTAACATTGCAGAAAATTAGCAAAGTCTTTAATTCAAGCTATAAGGATGTACACAAAGAGGAGGTGTATCAATTTTCACATGTTTTTATCATTTCTAAGTAAAGTTATGGTGTTAAAACAATTTATGATATGTATTTCTTTATCCCTGCCACATTAATTATGCACATGACATGTATAATTGAAAGTGTACTTTTAGGGATTGTGACATCATACTTTGTTTAGTGCTGAACTTGAAGGTTATAAGTGGTTAACAGTGTTTCCTCAGCATGTAAATTTGCCCAGTTTTAAGGGTCAGTGCTACCTTAATTGTCATAAAGAATTAATTAAATTTCAATCATTTCACATGTCCTAATGTTGAACAGTTTCTTCATTAGAATACTTTTTTCTTACCTTATAATAAAAGCACAATAAAAGAATTAAAGTAAATTTTGAAAATTCAATAGTGTTCAAAATAACACATAATAATGTTATGCAGAGGTAATTCTTATTCTTGACTACATGCCTTTTTGCAAGTAATTCTGTGAAGTTTTTCTTTTTTACATTAGAATTTGAATTATTTAATTCAATGTCAATATTAATTTACACGTGAAAGGCTGTTAAAATTTATTTTACAATAAAAAAAATGTTCAATATTTTTATATTTGTTTAGTTGGTCTCCCTGGATCTCAAATGAAGGTTTTTTTTTGGTGTCCAAAACAAATTATGTGTATCCTTTTGCAAGATTAAATTTAATTTTAGGCATAAAAAAGCTGTGTACAATATTTAAATTAGTAAATGTGGGCAGGGTTAAATTATAGATTTTGTTTTAAATTATGGAGCTACTGCTCACTTGATAAATTGAGATTTGTACATCTTCAGTTATGTATGATGTAGTAAAATTCTAATATTGCAGCATTTTTCTGATATTTTAATCAGGCAGTATGGTGCTTGAAAATGCGTTCTTTGACTGAGCAAGTTTATGTAGATGATCTTGAAACAGATGAAGAAGGAATCGCAGAAATGTTAATGGATGAAAATTCAATAGCACAAATTTCTCGCCCTGGAACTTCACTCAAAACTTCTGGTCGACCTCAAGGAACTAGTCAGTCTGTAAGGTAACTATCTAAATGTTTTTGAGTTCATAAGTCTAAAATATGTGTACTTTTCTTCTGAAGATGTCACAATTGATGCCTTGATTCATGCAAAATGTCTTTGGTGAAGATTGAATAATGTTGAGCCTTGGGTACATAATACTGCTTTAGTAAAGAATAAAGCATAGCACAAGTTAATTTTACTTTTTGTTTGTTAAAACAGGGTCATATATGCAGAATTCTCTCCTTTAATCCGTTCTCTTGTAAATTTGTATTTCCAGCAATATCCTCTTGTCAGTTAAAAAGAGTACCAGTACTTTCAAAAAGTATGTTTAATGTATAATAATGTATATTTTCAAATTAATCCACTGCTTGTTTAGTTCTTATTTAATCAACTTATGTATACTTTGTCTGTTTTTATTGATATTAGCTTTGTTGTGGTTTTTAAAATAAACTTTTTTTCTTATTGTGGAAAGACCAGTCACACAGTCTGGAAGACCACTCACTGGTGTTTTGAGACCAGGATCTCACACTGGACGGCCTGGAACAGTTGAGCAAGCAGTGAGAACTCCTAGAACTGCTCGTACTGCAAGACCTGTAACCAGCTCTTCTGGCAGATATGTTAGACTGGGCACTGTAAGCTGTGTTCTTAATAAAAAAATTATTGGAAACTAATAACTATTTTAAATCATCATGATGTTAAGATCAGCATTATATTAAGAAATATTTGCATTTTTAATGTGGATGATTGCTCATAAATCAATTTTACTTAACACTACAACTCAACATTATAAGATGTATGTATAACTTCAGTGTTGTAAGTGTTATTTCTCAAAAAAACTACAATCATCAAATTGTTGTAAACTTGCATATACAAAAGGTATGTGATAAACAAGTGTCTAGACGATAATGTTGCAGCACTAAATACAGAAAATTAACACTTTTAAAAATTTAAATACTGTGTTAGAAATACTAATTGTAACTTTACATGATTGAAATGTGTCAAACATTATTGTATGTTCTGTTTCACTTCATTTTAAACATAAAAGTAGAGAATTTAAAAAGAAAAGGTTGTTTTCTTCAATATTTGTTGTCTTGATTGATGCTTTTAAAACTATCAAGATATGAAAAAATGGAGCATTTTTATCAAAAAAGTGTGTTTTTGCCCATATTTAATTGAGATTTACAAACAAAAGTCCAAGTTAAGTGTTTACCTTTCATCACAGGCTTCCATGTTGTCACAACCTGATGGACCCTTTATCAATCTCCCAAGACTTAATATTTCTAAATATTCTGCAAACCCTAACCTTGCTAAAGCCTTGTTTGAATACATCTATTATCATGAGAATGATGCTAGACATGTAAGTTTGCTTTTACATAAAATTTATAGAACCAACCATTTATTTATATGTAGGCTTTTATAAATGCCTATTACTAGTCAGTCAATTTATAATCGTAATACCCATCACCAACTGGTAAAATGGGTTGGTTTAAAATATTAAATTCTCATCATCAGATGGTAAAATGGTTAGTTTAAGATTGAAATACTGACAACAAGTTAGTTAATTGATCAGCTAAAAATTTAGATAATTTTCATTATTTGGTCAACTTGGCAGTTGATGATTTGACACATTTCATAATGTTAATGGGAATGGTTTCACCTAGTGGGGATATACAGAGTGTCTATGCTGGTGTTTGGTAATACATGCAACTCTTTCATTTTTAGGCTTTAGATCTTGCAGCACAGGCTACTCAGGCATGTCAGTACCAAGACTGGTGGTGGAAACTGCAATTAGGGAAGTGTTATTACAGGTCAGTTAGAATTTATGTATGTGACTACAGTATTACAACATGATTCTCTGTACATTCTGTAAGTTTACAGAGATTTGTCACATAGGTTATGAAATATGCATTACTATACAATAATTATATCCTTATATCTAATATAATGTTGAGTTACAAAGGTATTGAAAACAAAAGATTTAAATGTAAATACTTTTAACTAGTAAGAATTACAAGTTCATGAATGTACCATTGAATCTTGTAAAGCTTGTGTATGCTGTAAATGTTTATAAAATTTATTGTAATAGTGTAAAAATTGGAATTTTTATAAACTTTACAAGAAGGTCATGTCATTAATACATTGTAAAATCATAGGATGATAAACTTGTTGAAATTTCACCTTGCAGGTTTGGAATGTATAGAGATGCTGAAAGGCAGTTTAAATCAGCTGTGAAACAGCAAGAAAATGTGGATAGTTATCTTTGGCTGGGAAAGGTAAAGTGAAACTTTTCACTTGAAGAGAAAACTATTCTTTCTTATACTGGTTGTCTGGGGTTTTGCGATAGAATCAAATTTATATTGCTTGGTGTAAACATTAGTGTTTGAAACATATTACATGCTACTAAAACTAGAGCAAGATTAGTGGAATATCACATTGTTTTAACATCATTAGTTTTGTCAAAATAACGTATGGCATGTGTCTTAAACCCTATAGAGAGAGGCTCAGTCAATTTGACCAATTTGATAACCACCATGTAACCATACATATATAACTCTGAATGTACTCAAAGTGTCTTCTTGAAATTTAGCTAATTCTTAGTAAACATTACAGGTATTTTTACAAAAGATTTGTTTCAAATAAATGTTTGAAATTTATTTAGGAGGTTTTAGAAATTATGCAAAGGAAATCTGAGAATTTTCAGATGAAGAGAAGCATTTTTAATGTTAACATGAAAATCACTTTGCTCTTGGAGCAGTCAACACTTTGACTCCATATAATCATGAATAAAGTTTTTTTGGAAATACTTCATTAAAAATTCAGATTTTTTTATCTGTAAGTGCCTCTTAACTCTTTCACTGTGCAATCCACCATATATCTGAACTACACAGCAAAAGGATGAATGATGACTAACAGCTTGCAAAATTTCATGGAGATACACAAAACATATTATAGATTATACAATGGAAACTATAAAGATCAGTTTGGGGTCATGAACTTGGCTGAATTGACTGAGCCTGTAGCGAAAGAGTTAATAGATATAGTTAGAAAGTTAATGCAGAGACTAGTTTTAAACTAAATGTTGTATTTTGTGGGGGTTTAGTGTTCCTGATAAAGATCTATGCTTTACCTTAATAACTGAGTTTTACTAATCTTATTTTTGTTGATTCTTGCGTATACGAAAATGAATTATTTATAATAGATGCTTTTTTAACTTTTGTGATCGACAATTAATTATATTTTAAAGAATAAATAAGGATGTACTTGTAAGTATGTAAAAAGAAAAATGTATTCTTGATGATGTTATTCTCGCATTTTGTTGATGTATCCAAATTTCCTGGATTATTTTAAATCCCGTGATTTCAGATGTTTGATGATGATGCTGTTTTAGAAGCTCTATTTTTAGAACTCTGTTATTGTCATCATTTGCCTATGGATTCTGGGAAGTTGGAGACTGAATTTTAGTGTGAATTTTATTTAAAACCATAAACATTGAATATGCTGTTTTATAAAATAATAAACCCAAATAAGTTTTGAAAAATCTTTGTAAATATTTATAATTTTGATGGTTACTTTTCAACAATAGTTCATGTTAAAGTATCCAAACTGTTAAAGAAAAAACATTAGTATCATTAGTAATTCAATAGTTTCCTATCATCTCCACCCTTGAACTGCTCAGTGGTAGAAATGAGGGCTTAAAATGCTAAAAATCAAGTTACTGTATTCTCAGTGGACTCATTGCAGATGGACCATTGTGCTGCTTTGTGCTAAAAAGCCCATCCATCATCACCAGTTTGTTTGATGTAGAAGGTATTGTATAAATAATATTGGGAAGAAACTGATGCATCCACAAGGAATTAACTATTAAGAATATCATTTTGTGGATGATGTGCAAAACTTTATTCCTGCCATAGCAACGATCATGTTTTGTGCTAATTTTGTAGTCATGGATTAGCACAGAATTATCTGAAGACCTCAGAATTAAAATTTAGCATTTAAATGTTATTTGTGATTCTATTGAAAGATCATAACTTTCTGACACTCATCTCAAGTAAGTGTGTTATTTAAATTTATTACAGTTATTAAATTTCAGTGCAAGGCTATATGTGATTTTCTGACTTTACAGTGTGCTCAGGATATAATATGTATCTTGTTTTTATTTAGGTTTATATTCGATTAGACCAACCTCTAGCAGCCCTTGAGGTTTATAAGCATTCGTTAGGAAACTTTCCAGGTGAAACGAGTCTTCTAACCAGTATTGCTCGGATATATGAGGTATATTATTTATATATACAATTAAAAGGAATACAACGTTAAAATCATTACACAATAAATAGTTATTAAAACAGGGACTTCCCCTAAAATGTCTCTACATACGTTTTGATGTAAATGAATCAGTATTAACAGAATGTGTGGTAAAAACATCTCATGTTATAGACTGGAGTAACACTAAGTTGATAAATCAGGTAGAATTTAAAATTGAATTAAATATCATTGAAACTATCAAAATTGAAAAGACAAAGATATAGTATTAAACAAGGAAGCTGGTCCAGATCTAGAAATAATAAAGTACTGAACATATGTTTTGTAACTCTGGGTAGTTTAAGCCTAGATGATGTTACAGGAATTTCAATGATTATGTGGGTATATAAGACCCAACCATACCTCAACTGTTACTCTGACGATGGTGTCGTAGAACACTGAAATATATGTAGTCTTTTTAGAGCAAGTTTCTGTTTTAATGACTATTTTTTGTATAATGATTTTAACGTCGTATTCCTTTTAATTGTATGTATTTGTTTTACACAATCATTGTTTTAAATTATGTAGGTATATTATTATATTTAAATTTTCCTTTGTAATTTTATTGGTTAATGTTTAAGTATTTTTACATTTAGTATGATGTTTAACTGTTGTAATATAGACATGTCTTCTACTCAATAGGTTTATAAACTTGTACTGAATATTGTGTGATACCCTTTGAAATCAACTTGTTATGTGACTGTATTATTTCATAGGGCATAATTTTATGAAACAAGCCACTTGCTAAATATTATACCATGATTATATTATTTTGTATATTTCTTTTTAAAGAACATCTTTATTTCACACTATATGATAAAGTATTAAACACCTTAAAAGGAATGAATTACTAAGTACAGCATGCCTGATTAAAAAATAACATATTCTATCCAGTATAAAACAGTGAAAAATTCCTTATACATTCTATGTCTGTTCCATTAAGGGGTAGGTGTGGTGTGGCCTAAAGGTTAGTATGCCGAGACTGTGAATTCGAGGTTCTGTGGCTTACATCCCATTTCCACAAAATAAAATTCTGCACTTTAGGGCTGTGGGTACACTATAAGAGTGATGGTCCAATCACTCTTATAGGGAGACAAGAGTAGCTCAATAATGGTTAATGTTGTTGTTAACTAGATGCCCTTTCTTTAGTTCAGTGGTTCTTAACCTTTTTTGCTCCATGCCCCACCTCAACACCTCAAAAAATTTGATGCCCCTTAATATAAAAACAAATTTGGTGTTGAAAAGGTATAATAATATAATTTAAAATTTAGAAATTTAGTTTTGAGTCACGAAACGTTTTTCACTCTTCACACCCAAATGAAAAATTTTTCTTATTGTAGCATTTTCAAATTGCCCCCCTGTGGAGCATGCTCCCCATATTCAGAATCATTGCTTTAGTTTATCAGTTCAAAATTATGGATGTCTAACACAGATAACCCTTGTGTAGCTTTGTACAAAAATCCAAAACAAAAAATTGTTTTTGCAATATCTCTTCAGGTTTGATAAGTGTGTATCATAAACAGAACTGTACTTCATATTATGTAAAATGGTGTTAAAATCTGACATTTTCATTTAGTAACTCCTTCAAGCCTGAAAAAAAAGGATCAGAAATAGAATGATTAACATTATAAACTGTGCAGAATCTAAAATGTGCATTGAGATTGAATTGATAAATTTTACTAAGTTACCACAGTTACAGTAATTATGTACACATACACAAACACATATGTGCATGAAAGTATCTGAATGATAAATTATTTTTCTTTATGTCTATCTATATAATTATATACATATATAAGAGAAAGGGTTTAGTAGTTTATATTAAAATGATTTTCAATATGCAAATGAGCAAGTTACGTAACAAACCACAGCCAATATAAAGTTGTGGTGGAATGGTACATATGAGAACTACATTTTATCATTGTTTTGCATTATGTAGGTAGTGTGGTGTCACTGAAAATTGGTTACTTTTTGGAATGGTATGTAACAGTTTTTTCTAACACTAAATATTCACAGGCTCAGATCATAAGGATGAACCCAGATTGGAGATTTAGAATTTCCTAGATGGGGATATCCTTTGTTCTTAATGTTATTGGAAAACAAAGGAATATTGATTAACTTGGATCACTGAAGACCATTCAGAAAGACACCAGCAAGAACTTGTACCCCATCCGTGATAAACAAAAGTTTGAGGTCTTGTAACAGATTAGAATCTATGAACACAAAGTTCAGTGGCATAAGCCATGAATTTGCCCCAAGCAACAGTATGCAACATAATCTAGAAGGACCTCTTTCTGTAAACAAAGTCATCAGGGTATGGGTTCACCAAGATAAGATTTTCAGTCATACCTCCTATTCAACTGTCACATACTCAAGCAGCTGGAGAATGAAAAAAGTATTCATGCTATTTTATAGGAAAACATACTGGTCAAGTCTCAAGTGACCAGATGCAGCATCTGGGGATTTCTTTGTGACTGGACAGTTGAAATAGGCATGAGGAAATCATCATCCTCATACACTAGATGGAGTATGGAAAGCTCACAGTGAGGAATGATGTACTTTAGGTGTGACAGCTTTATGACAGAGCATGTTTTAATGGAAACCACACTCAGTACTTTTGCCAAAATGTACGGTTGTAAGAGAGAGAATGACCAGATGCGACAGTGAACTTTAATAATGTGGCGAGGTTCCAAAATCCTTTAAATATAACATACACAACCTCTGTATATTAAAACTCACTGATTGTATTTTTAACATAATTGTCATGGATCAGTGTTGAATATTATATCAATGATGTTTTTTAGTATTAAATGCTAATGCTATTCCACAGTTTTACAGTACAACTCCAAATATAGTTGAGATACTGAATCTTTTATTAGTATTTCATCAAAGTTAGCTAATCAAATGTTACTTTGTTTGACATAAACTTGTTCAAGCAATTCTTATAAAAGTTTGTTAAGAGAAACTTTTCTGCTATATAGCAGTGTTATTACAGAGTATGAATAGGCTTGATTACTCCTCTTTTACATGCAGGCTCTGAATGACATGAATCTTGCCGTAAAGTATTATAAGGATGTTCTCCAGTTTGATGCTATAAATGTAGAAGCAATAGCCTGCATAGCAACTCATCATTTTTATTCTGACCAGCCAGAGCTAGCACTAAGATTTTATAGGTAATTTATTATCTTTCAATGTTTTAGATCACAAGTACCATTTTTAAAGCATTTTTTCCTTTATTATATTTTTGATCTAAAGCTGTATTCATTTAATAATTCACAGTAGCTGTATGGAAAGACCTTCATTTAAAAAAAGAAAGATACAGAATGGAAGTCATAAATTTTCTGGTAGTTTTAACTTATGGTCATTGTAACCACCATTGTTAGTATTTTACTTGAGTAAGTGCAGTTATTACGTACTAGAGGTTACTAGGTGATACATTTACTCATGATAGCCACAGAAAGAAAAGATTCACAATAACAATAATAAGTTATATATTTTAGATATTACAGAGGTTAAGTAATGAATGGTGTGTGGACAAATCTTAATAAAATTTCACAAGAAGAATTTACCAAAATTAAAAATAAAGGTGAATAAAAATACTTCAATAAAATTATTTAGAAAATTAAATAAACATGAAACAAGCAAAAAACTGGGTAATAGTGTAAAAAAAACAAGGCCCCTAAGTTTGACAAGAAAAAGTTTTCTCTCACAGACTTTATTTTTGATATTAAACTTTTAGACATGCACTAGTACTCATGGAATGAATTTTATGAATATTATCATATATTTTAATTTTTTAGAGCAAATGTTCTTGATATTAACTCTCTACAAAGGTCTATGTTATTTTTTTTCATGTAAATACTAGAAATGCCAATGAATATTTTGTTTTATGTACTAGGAGGCTATTGCTGATGGGATTATACAATACAGAACTGTATAACAACTTAGGCTTGTGTTGTTTTTATGCCCAGCAGTATGATATGGCTTTAACCTGCTTTGAAAGAGCTCTCAGTCTTGGAAATGATGATAATCTTGCTGATGTGTGGTACAACATTGGTCACATTGCTGTTGTAAGTATAGTAAATGAGCTGTGAGTCTTAGAAATGATGAGAACCTGGCTCTTGCATGGTACAATGTTGGTCACATTGCTGTACTAAAAGTAGTTAGTGAGTTTTCAGTCTTGGAACTGATGATAACCTGGCTAATGTGTGGTACAAAGTTGGACACATTATTGTAGTAAGAGTAAATAGTGGGCTGTCAGTCTTGGAACTGATAACCTGGCTTATGTGTGGTACAACATTGGTCACATTGTTTTTCTAAGTATAGTAAGTGAGCTCTCAGTATTGACAAGGACAATAAACTGGCTGACAAAAAATTGATGAACGTATTTTTTTTGCAGAAATAACAGTAAGAACACTGAAGCTATACATATATTGTATAATAATATTGAGCTGTAGTATAACATAAACATACTTATGAACAATCATCCACAGCAAACATGTAAATATTTCTTAATATAATGCCTGTCTTAAATGTTATGATGATATAAAACAGATTAAATGGTTTACAATTATCTGTCAGAATAGCTTGTTACAGGTCTTGTTTAGTTAATTGTTATGTTTCTTATACACGGGACAGGGGGCAAGAATGTGTTCATTAATTAACAGTTACATTTCCTGCAACAGGGTAGATGAGACAAAAATGTGTTACTTAGTTAACAGTAAATTTCTTGCAACAGGGTAGAGGAGACAAAAATGTGTTACTTAGTTAACAGCTACATTTCTTGCAACAGGGTAGAGGAGACAAGAGTGTATTATCTAGTTAACAGTTACATTTTTTGCAACAGGGGATAGGAGACAAGAACTTAGCATCCCAGTGCTTTAAATTAGCCTTAGTTGTCAACAATGACCATGCTGAGTCCTACAACAACCTTGGGGTTATTGAGATAGCCAAAGGAAATATTGATCAGGTAAGTTTACCATATCTACATCTGGGACTCACTTTTTCTTCTTGTTTTAAAAAGAAAAAGACTAAATACTCTATTACTTGTATAAAATCCACAGTGTTTACTTATACTTAGAACTAAATAATCAAATATAATTTGTTAGTTTTTTTGTGCCTACCATGAAAATATAGCAGGTATACAACAACCCCTGTTAATTAAATCTATATCAAATTGATGGTGTATATTTTGTTTCTTTAACTTCCATGTTATACAGGTAGTGATAGGCATTAAAATTCTATCTAATGAAAAATAATTCTGGTAATTAAAGAAAGTGCTGCATTAGAGATGAGCAATTCAATCAACTACCTATTAATGGCAATCACATTAACTAGTTTCACATAAGCTAATCAATCAATTGAAGTTACGATTAACTCTGTTGTCACAAAGATAAACAACAAATCTAAGTTAGGGTTTCCAATTACTACTGTTTTTGATTAAAAATAATTCTGGTAATTAAAGAAAGTGCTGCATTAGAGATGAGCAATTCAATCAACTACCTATTAATGGCAATCACATTAACTAGTTTCACATAAGCTAATCAATCAATTGAAGTTACGATTAACTCTGTTGTCACAAAGATAAACAACAAATCTAAGTTAGGGTTTCCAATTACTACTGTTTTTGATTAAAAATAATTCTGGTAATTAAAGAGAGTGTT